TTTCGACAAATGCTCAGTGCGTAGTTCGCCCCCATGTCGAATATGCAATTCAAGTCTGGCATCCATGGCTGAAACACGACCTTAATGCACTGGAGCAGCCACAACGCCGGGCATCTAAGAACGTAATTGGAATGCGCAATCGGTCCTACCAGGAGAGGCTGCGACGACTAGGATTGTTCAGTGGAAGCTATCGCAGGCTACGAGGCGACCTGATTATGACATACTTGATTCTGCGAGACCCACATCATGTGTGCCGCCCTTTACTGCAACTCAGCAGCAATACAAACCTGAGGGGCCACTCATTAAAACTCGCAGAACAATGTAGTCGTCTGGAGTGCCGCAGAAATTTCTTTTCCATCCGCGTCTGTCACCCGTGGAATGCTCGCCCAGAATCGGTCGTCTCTGCACCGACACTAACAATATTTAAAAGACGGTTGGACGATGCACTCATCCACTTACACTTTGTTACTTAACACTATGTCTCCATCCTACACCTGGAGTTTACCCTGGAATTATTTGTTGTTAACTGTGGGTGCTGTGAATCTAAGTGGATCGCAGGACTGCAGCGAAGCAAACGATAAGTCCTTATTTTCGTATTTAAAGTATTAACTGTTTTACTATCCTTTTCATCATAATTGTTATGTTGATATCCCCACCAACTATCCAACGGGGCTTGTAAAGCAACGCTTCTTAACCCGTATAAATTCATTGTTCATAGGGCGCAAAATTTAGCGATTTGAACAATTTTCTCTTAGAACAGAAAGTGATGCATTTGCCTGTCTTTAATATCGTCATTTTAGTATTACATATACATATGTTGTGATATATGAGTTCAGTCAAATCTTCATTCTGTAGGTAGTAATGGTGTCGAGCCGATGTAGGTGGTTTTATTTATGAGTTTGAAGTGCCTCTGCCTGCACTCACGCTTGCTGGTGAGACACTAGAGGTTTTGGAGAGATTTGTCTACTTGGGAAGTTGCATCACTGCTGGCGGAGCTGTTGGAGACGAGATTTCGATACGCATCTCGAGAGCATGCCTCGCTTTTTCTAGGCTGAGGCATTTGTGGCGTCGCCACGACATTCGTCTCTCCATCAAAGGGCTTGTCTATTGTGCAACTGTTCGTGCTGTACTGTTGTACGGATGCGAGACCTGGCCCATTCGTAAAGATGACTTGCGCAGGCTATCCGTCTTCGAGCACCGCTGTCTGTGGTCCATTGCCCGTGTGTGGTGGCAGCACCACATAAGCAATGTGGCAGTTAGACAGCGTGTCTTGAAACGTGGAAGCCACTCGCTCGAGGAGCTCATCTCACTGCATCAACTGCGGTGGTTGGGACACGTATTGCGCATGCCTGTTCAGCGTTACCCCCGTCGTGCGTTGTTTGCACTTGCTGGACAGGGCTGGAAGAGACGGTCTGGTGGACAGCCTACAACATGGAGAAGTCGCATGAAAAAGCTAACGAAGCAGTTGGCCTCGGCCGGTTGTTGTCGACTACCTGGTTGGGGTCCGAGAGATGCGGATACTTTCTGGGTGAAGATCTTGAAAGCCATGGCTTAAGATCGGTGTCAATGGCGGATGTGTGCATCGGTTTGTTGCGGTGTCCCTTCTTCCTCCCCCTAAAAAAGAAAAAGCTGTAAAAATATTTTCAAAAACTGTGAGTGGTGAAATAGACAAAAAAAGCAGTTCTTGTTGCTCTTTTCTTATTATTCATATTGTTTTCCTATTCAGCCATGATTCCGATGGCACAATATCTGTACCATAGAATATATATATATATATATATATATATATATATATATATATATATATATATAACTCCTAATCCTAAAGACAGATTGGCTTGGGGGTAGTGTCGTGGACAGACACGCAGACTGGGAGGAAGTGGTTATCTTATGGTACTGGTTAATTGGTTCACATCTGTGGAACTATTTGACCGTGTGTAGGTGAAAAAGATTTTTTGTTTGTGGAACTGTCCGTCCCAACAAGAAACATTTTCCCAAACTTCAGGAGGATAAGGAGATGAAGAGAGGTGATTTTGATTGTCTTTCTGCATATTAAGGAATTGTGTTTTTCTAGTGGGAGGACAGCAAATATGTTCATCTGTTGTCCGATTCCCATGCTTGGGAATCGCAGACGCGACATTCACCCTGAAGGGCAGAGTTTATAACGCAGCCGTCCGTTCAACTCTTGTATATGGTTGTGAAACCTGGCCCATCAGGTCGACAGACATAAAGAGGCTCGTCATATTCGATCATCGCGGCCTTCGCAGCTTGGCTCATGTCTGGTGGGAGCACCGCGTGAACAATGAGCGTGTTCGGCGTCCTGTATTTGGTGCAGGAAGAGCGAGTGAACCGCGCAACGCCATTATTTCACGCACGAGGCTCCGATGGTTGGGCCACGTGTTTCGCATGCCAGCACACCGACTTCTGCGTGGTGCATTGTTTGCGCGTTGTGGGTGCGGTTGGAAGAGGAGGAGCGGAGGCCAAGCGATGACTTGGTCGAGAGAGATAAAATCCCTCACTTCGAAGTTGGCGCCGGTTGGTGCATCCCGACTGGGGTCCTAAGGACGGTGAACACGTTTGGTTGGACACACTTGCTGACATGGCGAAGAGCAGGCCCCAATGGTGTTTGTGTTGTGAGTTCCTTTGTCCATCCCCCTGCTGTTTAGCATCCCTCTCCAATCACGATCTCACTCGTTAGGCATAATATAGCTCTCATTTTACAGCACGATAGCCAGCTGTTAGCTGTCCGGAACGATGTCCATCCGTTACTGGGGACTCAGCCGGCGTGCCAATGTTTGTTTTCCTTTTCTTGTCTTTTGCATTGCGGCACAATAGCTGAGGTGTTTTCCATCTGCAGCTAACGTGTATAATGATGCGTGTGAATAAATTACTGTGAGGTGTAAAGAGCGGTTTGGAACTGTGGCCGACATAGTGACACCTAAGATAGTACCGGATTACAGTTCAGCCATGGACGGAGTGGATAAATATGACAGTAAATCAGAAAAATTGTTGGCACAGACTGTTTCTTTTGCAATGAGGCAAATGACCATTGTCAATGCATATGTGATGTATTTGGGCATGCATTATGACATCTCACTCCTGAAGTGAATCGGAGCAACTTGGCAATGGGGCTTATCGATATGGGAAGCAGCAGACCAGTGAAAAGTGGAGGTCATCCTTCAATCCATACAATGTCGTCACAAAACAAACTAAAGAGACGAATGAAACACAAGTATTATGTGCCTAAATACATCAGGACACAAAATTTTGATGCCCGCTGGCCTACACTGGTTACCAACAGCGGAAGACATGAAATGTGTTCCACATTCAAAATGTTGTTTTTTTGTAATGCTTTTTGTGCTGCAACGATAAAGAGAACTGCTTTCAAAAATATCATTTTCAATAAAGTGCCTTCATGGTGACAATGTGGATGATCTACGTTCTTGTCGGTACTTACAAGTACCACCTTAAAACTAAACATGCAAATGTTTACAAAAATTTAATTTATTCCTTTTTTGTTTATTACTAACCAACATCAACCTTATGAAATAAAAAATAATACAAAACTTGTGGGTGAATTCATTCAGGATTGAAAGAGTTAAATAGTGCAGAGGACAGGGAATCTGGGACAGCGACACGAAAACAATTGTGGACTGTGATCCGGTCTCGGGCCTCGGCCTCCGACGGAGATCTACACTTACCGTCCATGGCTTGTACTGCATCACCTGAGTAGGAGGAGGTCCGAAAGCGGGGGACCAACTGAACTGATCTGGAATGCGTTCCGCCCCACGCACCATACGGCGCTCCTTATTGTGAATCAGAGTACCCGCGCTGTGAACAATACTCCTCAAGAACCGCTGGTCAAACACCGCCTAGCGTTTAATGTCTTCATTGCGAACTGACCAGGTCCCTGATCCACACAGTACCACCTGCTATATCAAAGGGTTATGTATCTTACTTTTCAGTGACAGGCTGATACCCCGCGGTTTCCATGGACAGTTGGGCCTCTGGAAAGCGCCAGAATTCTTGCTTCTACTCGAAGTAGCCTCTACAATAATGTGACCATCTGAGGTAGCCCACCTACCAAACTAAGTGAATCGATCCACAACTTCTGGAGGCTATTCAGTGATTTCTAGAATCGGTGGCGTATCGGTTCAGTCCCGCAACAATACTTTTCCCTCTGAAGGTGAAGAGCACATACCGAAGCATGCTATGCTACGCGTCAGTCTATTCGGTAGAGCTTACGTTTCTAGTGTTGGTTGAACACCATTTGCAGAAAACCGGTGTAGTCAGTCTTAGGTACGAAATCGCATTTTGGTTGGTGGAACTTCGGCGCCAATGCAACCGTTAGGGGACGGTGATCGTTTTTGTAATCGAATTGTCCTGAGTAATGTGAAGCGGCTTCGGTGTTGGAAATTCATGCAATATATTTCTCCTACTCAAATAACAGTCCGAAAATTTGCTTGCGATCCGTGTAGGATCTTTCCTTTTTAGTTGAGCTATATGGAAAGGTGTTTGAACAAAGCATGTCGTCTAGACGAAAAACTTCACCACACTTCTGAGCAAAGTAGGGGGACAACTTTGATGGTCATCTGGCAGCTTTTTTAAGAGTCATTAACGCGGGCTACCATGATGTTTAGCCAACAACATTGTTTGTTTAGAATGTTTTGGAAAACTGGTAGCTCGGGTTGATAATTCAGTTGCTCATTTGTTCGCCGAGCTGCGAAATTTGTTTGCAAACGTTTCACCGCCATGCGAGGCGGCATCATCAGTGCGTCGAGATGTCGAGTGTAATCTTGCTGGTGATGCCGCCTTGCATGGCGGTGAAACGTTTGCAAACAAATTTCGCAGCTCAGCGAACAAATGAGCAACTGAAGCATTGTTTGTTGTTCGTTTCGACCTAATCCATTGTAATGATGTGCTTTAAATAACGTGTTGAATTCCATTGCTTTGATATGAATTCTCTTCAAACTGTGAACCATCTTTTTGTTACATTGTAGCTTGGCGTCGCTCTTGGCTTCGGTATACCTCCGGTAATTGTGCCAGCTGCGTCGGAAGATCCCGCTGTTGCGTCGAACGAGTTCACCGACATTCACCAACGAATGATGTATTTTTTATATGGAAGTGCCGCGTTCAGCACCCTTCCTTTGATACCCGTCCTGATCTGTGAGTCAGTTACCGATTATGTGCTTTGGAACAACGTCACGAGCTCAACTGAGTGCTTTTAAAACTCTCGTACACCAGTCTTATCAGGCGCAGTTTCTGGGTATTTGCTTTATTAACCGTGTTTGACGTGGGTTTAGAGTCAGCCATGGAGTAGCCGTCCAGGAATTTATCAAAATGCGATGCTGTTTGGAATTTAATTTAACTGACAACAGACGAGGTCTTTAAATTAAGCGTTGCTGTTTTCAACACTGGAATAACCACCTTTAGGTTCATCTACTTTGTTAACTGTTACATTTCTCGTATTTCGTTGCCTTTTTTGTAAAATCCGCTGGACAGTATTCAAAATTAGCGATTACTTTTAAATGTTTTGCTTAAAATCACAAACACATTCAAAGGAATCATCAAGAATCGTTCAGGCAACGTAATGAAGGTTCGTGCGGTTTGGCAAATTGGCCTCAGACACCAACATGATACAAATGTCTATGGTGTATCTACAGCAATGTAAGGTTCTTTATTTGGTGTTATGGAACCATTTCCCATAGGCGAATCTTTCGTCCTTTCCCCCTTGTCAGTTAACCATTTGGAATTTCTGTGGGAGCCATAACAGGAGACAGCACAGAAATGCTAAAATCACACCAATCCAATGGCATAAGTTCCTCTTGTTTCGATTTGCTTTGATCTGATCCAACCTCGAGCAAACCTTAACTATTCTCTCAGACATGTTTGCTATAACACACATGAGACCATAACTCAAATTTGTTCGCGAAACCAACTGAAAATGTTTGTGGCCATTGGTACGTGACACATTTCTACTTAATAATAATAGTAAGTGGGGTTTTTCGCACAAATATCAAACACGCATGTGTCGTTGGATAGAGGATTTAAGGAATTCCACTGGTTTTAACTGTACACACCGAGTTGGCAGGGCAAGATCATCAACGGTTGTACAGAAAATCGATCTGCTGTCCTATCTTCCCTTGAGTTTTCCGCAATACCGTTAGTATTCTCCACTACGAAACACTTGGATCGTCTTGTTTGAAGACATGCGAATGATAAATATTGCCGGCTGTTTTTAAATTACCTGTATAACGTTAGCCGATAGAAAGTTGAGTTGCGCATAGCTAATCGTCCCGAAATCAGAACAAGTTTGGATCGCCAAGTCTAAGGTCCTATTACAATGTATACGGTTAATGAAATTGTGTAAACCTTAAGCATTCATGTTCCCGGTCTATTACCGTCAACAACAGAAAGCAAATAAACGGGTGCGGAGTTCAAATGACCTCTCGAAACCACTATTCAAAGCAGACAGCCAGAGGACAAGTGAATACACGACAAATGTGTGAAACTATTAACAAGGTCGCAATGCTTGCTCATTGCCGCTCTAATCACGGACAGCGGAAACGGTTAGTGAACGTGAATCACACACATACACGACAGTAGGTATGGTCAAATGGAGGACCTGTGCATCGCTCAGGTAATGTGGTAGCAATGTCATGGGGATAGCGATATCAAACCAGGTGCACGAGCCATATGTTGCAATCAACACAAGTTGAATTGATGTGTGTAGGGAATGAGTGTGTAAACAAGCGGTGAGTCACTGGACAAAGATGTGGACGTATATGGTACAGGTAGCATTGTAAACAAAATAAATAAATAAAATAAAACTTTTATTCTCGACAAGGCGAGGTACACGTCTACAGGCATGATCATTTTGGCAAAACAATGCGTGATCAAGAATTTGCAAAAATCCGATATGTTTGCCATAACAGTGCTTGTTTGTGCAGGGGGAATGTAAGTATATAATTGTGTGTGCGTTTATGTAGCTGTGTAATTTGCGCTTGTAACTGTGCTGCTCCATTCTTGAATGTTTGCTAGCGTCAGCAATGTGCGAGTAGAAGATTGGTGTCCATGGGTTGGAAAGGATTATCCAGATATCCACTGGGCAGTGAATTTATTTTGTGGTGAGCCACGACCGCCACGTCACAGTGTTGCTAAGCAGACATTTGTGGCTTTTTATAGGGAGAACGCTTGCCACACGAAAACTCACCACGTCTTGGAACACTGCCGCCGAACTATTAGCTGGAACGGGTTAAACCCGAACCGCCCAGTTGGCACCACGAGGAGGTTGTTCGGTTAGCCAGCCACGGATGGGGTTAAAATGGGGTGATCAAAACATCCGGGTTCTTTTTGAGGACATGGTTCAGTGCACAAGCGTTCCGCGCACCCATAAATAAAGGTCAGTGAATGAAACGGAAAGTGCTGTCCAAGTCACATCAGAGGGTAGGTCCCCGAAGAATTTTTCAAGGATGGTGAATCGACAGAAACAGTGAAAAGCAGATTATCTGCAATGATTCGGAATAGCTGTAGCCTGGGTTGATAGTTTAGGTTTTGATTGGTTCTCCGAGCTGAGTAATTGGATAACGAACGTGTTAAGATTGCGAGACGCCTAGTAAGATGATTGTAGCTGGCACGGTTGCAGCACGCCTACGCTAACGGCTTGGAACGCTGGCCAATCGAGCGGATTTGTGCTTGCGTGATGGCGTTAGCTTACCCGGGGTACGCGCTTGTGAGACGGAAAATGGAGCGAGCGTGAGAACGTTCTAGCCGCACGTATTCGGGTAGACGCCGAGCCCTCGTAACGGACGAGGCTACGCACACGAGGGGGGTTATGGTAGACACTCGCTAATGGCTTAGGCGCGAACGATGCACACAAAACCACGTGACCCGACCGAGTCCCAACTACGGCGAAGAGGAAGCAAGACAAGTGGTCCTTTGAGGGCTCTTTTACGGCCAACAAAGGGGGAATCACAGCCAAAACTGTGGGTTATTAGGTTAGTGAAAATTGCAGCCGCAACGGGGGGCTAGTTTGTAAACGAACATGGTCAAACTGCGCAGTTGTGCCGCGTATTGGAGCGGCTGAAAACTGCTACGCTGTGGGAAGGAATTGGACTCCGCTTTCCACAGCCATTACGCCGGAGTTTGTGACGCGTTTTTGCGAGGATATTTGACGGGCCCGCAACAAAACGTCTCACCACTTCGCTCAGTGACATCTTCAGTGCACTGCTGCGTAAAGAAAAATCTCACGAAAAGTGTCGTCGGGACGTAGCGTTTGAAATTGGCCTCGTCGATCCGTGTCCCGTGACCTCTGTTCGTTCGTTTTTCGGCCACCCAGTCTCATGCTTTCTCAGCTGTAGGTACACTGGATCACAGCAATGCACCGAAGAGGCCATTGAGCGAAATGGTGAAACGTTTGCTATTAAAGTACTCAGCTCGGAGTACCAATCAAAACCTTAGATTTGTTATCCTTTCATTACTGTTTCTTTCCTAACTCGTAGCTGAACACGAAGCCATAGCAGGCAAACTGACTGGAATTCTGGGCAGACAATATCTAGGAAGCAGTTTTATGTGTACAACATGGAAGGGCATATGTAGGACCAACATAGTTAATACTGACATTGGTAGCTCTTCGGACTAGGGAACAAATTCCAAAACCACTGTCCTAATGTGTTTATATTCAAACTCGTCATGGTTTTAATAGAGGAGTGATTTATTGAAAGTGAAGTCGCGTGTTATTCATCTGACCAAAGCATTGTGTAACTAGATAGCTCTTAGTTTCGCTGACAACGGAATAAATTCTTCCATCTTTATGTCTACCGGAGTCTGGGATGGTGCTTCTGAGCATTTGGGGTGTTGGATGGCGTGAACACTGCCAAAAAGCTGTCTTGCTTTCTTCAGCATCCCTTATTTGTAATACGTCCACTACAGTTTGTCACTACTTAGTGAAGTGTAGCAGGACGACGACACGAATATAAATTCCCCCGGAGCATTTACGCATCTAGATCACCGCATTTTAACCGCACTTTTGCAACCCAGTCACATGTTCCACAAAGTTAGTCTTCAAAACCGGATCTGCCTCATATCACTCGTGGGCTGCCAAATGTTACCAATAACCAAACCGACGGTGACTTTCGCAGAGTACTCTGACGTTTGACATCTTCCTGCCGCAGCTTATGGAAATTTGATTACTTCTTATTGTCACAACCTTTGTTTTGACTTCATCCCCAGCTTACTTGAAACAATTTCTGTATGGGGCGCGAAACAAACTGTCCACCTGAGGATGTTCAGCACCAGCTAATCCAAATCTAAGGGATGCTTCCGCAGCTGTGTAGGGACTGGGCAGGTGTCTGATCCACGGATGGCACACCAAAAAGCACTCATCCTGCAGTGTAGGGCATATTGTTACTTTACACTGGTTCCAAATAAGACAGCTCATAAACTATAACTGAGCACACGAATCAGTTGAAAGCAGCTTGAGAAGGAAAAATCACAAGGACTTTGGTGTGTACTTTATGGAATTGTAGTGAGCGAAAGGATGAATTTAGTAGGGAATGAGATAGAGCACTAGTCCTTTTGAGTAGACTTCAAGCCCTCGGTCAATGCCACCATCATTTACGTAGTTCGTCAGACTCTGAGATCGTCATCGCCATTCTGCATGTTATCGGAGATGAGAAACACTGTACTGTTGCGTCATAATATGCATCAGTCGGATGGGCATAAAAGAAAGAAAACAAAATATAGTGTCTTGTTATTCTTTGTGCATCAAGGCTTAGGTTTTGACTGGAGAGTGGATAAAACTCACGACACAAGCATCACTGACATCGGTTATTAGTCACACCAATCAAACCTGTTCATCGTCTTAGGGACTCCAAGCTGCAAGGCGGGAAGCGCCAACCAAGAGTACAGTGTGTCTTTAATCCTCTTACCAAACCCATCGGCTGGAATTCACTCATCCACTTCCATCCACACCTCGGTTGTGCAGCAACCTACATCACAGGAATCGGCATGCAGGCCTACGTAACAAATGGCCCAGTTATCGGGGTCCAGTGCGTGAAATCATGACGCCGAGTGGTTCACTGGGCTTTTCTACGCCCTAAACAATACTGTAAATTCGCTGTGTTCACATGGTGTTTCCCAAATGTAGGAGCACATATGCGAAGACA